TTTCCAGGAAGGGTCCAGCTCAGCAGCCTTCCCAGACTAAACACCGATTTCCTCATTTGCAGCAGATTAATCAGAGAGCTGCTCTGTGTGTGTGTAACAGCTCCTCGGGATTTCTCAGAGAATTACAGAAATATTGGAAGAAAGCCCATTCCCTTCTATCTAGCAAAAGGGATGTGTGCATCACTGCACCCCACTAAGAAAAAAAATTATGAAACCCCACAGCTCCTCACGACAGCCCACGCAAAGTACAGAGTTCTGTTGTGGAGGGGATGTCCCCACCAACGCTATCACTGATTCACTTCCACAACTCAGGAACAGAGAACTGACTCCTTCCTTGCACTTTTCCAGCTTCTCATCCAGATATATGTTTCTACTTTTCAAAAAGAAATGAAAAAGCACAAACCCATTTTACTTGCCTCACATCAGAGAGCCTCAGTGATCCCTCTTCTCTGTACACATTCCACTAAGCATTCCCATTTCCTTTCACACTCCAAAAGCTAACCCAAGGTCTAAGCACTGGCAGAACAAAGCACACTCCAAGCTGTACCAGCAGTGCTTGCTCCTGCAAATAAGCCAACTCCCCAAGAACCAATTCCACGTTGATGACTAACTCCCATCATCATCATCCAGGTACCTTCATCCCCTCCAGCCTCAATATTCCCAAAACCAGAAGGTTCCCATAATTTCCTTTGACAAGCACACTCCCTAGGTGAGTAATTTCACTCTTCGAAGAAACTCCATCAGGAAAAGTCAGGAACAAACAGCCTTCCCACACCCCAGCAGTTTATAAAGTGAAATAGATGGAGCAACAGCGAAACAGCCCAGCCTGCAGCAAAGGTGTCAATTAAATGCTGGGAATAACGTTCTGCAGGGAAGTGGCAGAAAATTAAGCTCGTTAAAGGCTTTTAATCAGCAACAGCCTGGGATGGGGTAAGTGTGAGTTACCCTTCAGTGCTGGGGAAGCAAGGCAGGTCAGGCTGCCCACCCTGCCAGGGGTGCTGGTCAGTCCCCCACAGCCCCCGGGGTGACAGGGGTACCCCCCAAATAACGGGGGGCACTCATGCCAGCCCCGCGTATATTGGTCACACCAGTCTCCCCAGTAACAGGGTGCCCAGCAACACCAGACATTCCCAAAAAAACCAGGCTCTGGTCATCCCAGTTCCTACCAGATAACAGGGGATCAGTCACAGAGAACACGGAGCTCTGGTCATCCCTGTCCCCCACAAATAACAGACTCCGCAGACAACGGGTTATCTAACAGGGGTCATCCCAGTCCTCCCCGACCCCTCCAATAAAAAGGATCTCTAAAGATCTCAGTAACCCCCAGGAACAGGATGGCCACTCACACCAGACCTCCCAGTGAACAGGGGGCTCTGGTCATCCCAGTCCCCCCAAAAAGCGATCCATTCACATCGAGCTCCCCGACAGTAACAGCGGGGCCACGCACCCGCCATACAGGGGACCTCAGTCATCCCAGTAACAGGCAACCAGTCATACCACTCTCCCCAATACAATAAAAGCCCCTATGGCATGCCAACCCCACCGGGGGATGCCGCAGCACTCCTCCCCAACACAGAGGACGCCAGCGGCGGAGCTCAGCCCCCCCTCAGCCGCAGAGGACCCCCGGGAGAGCCCCTCCTCAGCCACACGTCCCCGCTCCCCGAATCCCCGCACCCACCGCCGGCCCGGCCCGTCTGGCGCTGGCGGCTCCCGCGGCCCCGGCGCGGCCGGCACGTACAGCGGACCGCACCACCCGGGCACGCGCGCGGGGGAATACGCTCCGCCCTCGCCGCCCGCCAATAGGAGGCGAGCGCACCTGACTGTGGATATCCCCCCTCTGCGGCGGCGCATGGTACAGCCCAAGGACGGGGGTATTAAAGGGACAGGAGCGCCGTGAGGGGCCGGGGGTGAAGTGTGGGGTTAGGGTTGGGCGGAGTTGGGGCGGGCAGGGGGACAGAAAAAGAGGATCCAGAGGTGACAGTGGGTGCAACAGGGGGTCAGCGTGGGGGTCAGGCTTGGGTTAAGAGGGGAGGCAGGTTTGGGGTCAGCATTGCAGTTCGGGGGTGAGTATGAGGGCGAGCGTTGGGGTTACAATGGGAGCAGGGCTTAAGTCAGTGTGGAGTCATACTTGGAGTCAGGGTGCTGAGGTCAGTTTTGGACACTTAAGTGGGTTGAGCAAGGACCCGCAGACCCAGGACCCTTGTCTGTGGCCACTCCTGGGTGCACATGGTGCTGCTGTGGGACTCGCAGGTCCCCCAAGGCCATTGCCCAGACCAGGGCCCCGTGGGCTGTCAAGGGGGCCCCACGGTGGAGGCTGGCACCCAGTCACTGTCACTCTCCCTGGGAGCCATGGGACTGCACAAGCTCCTGATTTAACCACAGCCCAGATCATTCGGATGGTTTGGGGTGGTCTTTCTCTTGCTGCCACACAGGAAGTTGCACAAGCAGCTCTGGAAGCATCCCCAGCAGTCCCAGTGGGAGATTTCACAACCCAAACCTCCAGACCCCAGGTCCTGCAGGGATTGCTGCTCTCCTCTCTGTTGATTTGTTTTGTTTGTTTGTTTTTTGTTTTTTTTTTTTGTGGGGGAAGCTGGGTTACAACTCTGCTGTTTCCAGTTTGGCCAAAGCCAGAGGCACAGCCTGTCCTGACCCCACTGAGCAGTCCCAGGGCTGTGTGGGGTCACCCCGGGCTGGGTCCCCTCCCTTTGCCTGCTGGGCACTGGCACATCCAAAGTCACTATCCTGACACTATCACTGTGCTGACGCTCATTCCAGAGTCAATAAAAGACTCAGGGAAGGTCCAAAGTTTGAGCTGGGCCGGGGAGGCACCTGAAGAGGTGTGAGGAGGGGCCACAGACCTGAAGAACACTAGCCCAGGGCTGCAGGGACCCCCTGTTTACTGACAGCATTTGAGCAGAGGTTGAGGGGTGTGAGGTCACCTGAATACTGATGTCACTCACATGAGTTTTGGGATTGACCCTATGGAAGCTCCCTGGTCTGTGACCTTACCCCATGGGGTGAATGGACACAGTTTAAAGATCCCTGTGACCCTGAGGGCACAGCAGGACAGAGCAGGTTCATGGCTGGGGGCATCCCGTCAGGCACTCAGACTGGGCACAGGCACTGTGGCACAGCCTGTCCCATTCTGTCCTCACAGGTAAGATGGGTCTCATCACACCCAGCCCAAACCCCCCAGGGGGAAGCAGCAGAGTCCTGCAGCCCACAGAGACCTGTTTAGTTAGCATTTTGTCTCTCTACCTATTTCTTCCACCTCTTCAGCTCTCCTCTGCTCCCAGCACAGTTTGAGGCTGAACTTTTGGCTACAGAACCCTCACAGTGCCAGCAAACAACACGGGACCCCATGGGACAGCCACGGAGGTGGCGTTTGGCAGTGTCCTGGCCCTGGCACAGGGAACCTGGCCCCCAGTCAGGCTGTCTGCATGGCTGTGCTTGGCCAAAAATTAATGACAGGAAAGCAAACACAGACCCGTTTTCCTTCCAGCATCAATGTCCCCTGCCAGGCCTCTCCAGTTTGAGTCCCCTCTCACTCCTGGATGGGGCAGCAATGTAGGTCCAAGTCAGTTCTGCTTTCATCGTGTATCCTTGTGTATCTCTGACTCCTTTTCCCTTGTGCCATGGTGGGAGCTGAAGAGCAGAGGGGATGGACTTGGACTTCCAGAGAATCATTCCTATGACAGGACCACTAGTCCAAGGACAGGGAACAGCTGGCTCTGCCCTCAGCACTTGTTCCCAGAGTGTCCCTCTGCAGTGACCCTCTAAGGACATGGGGCAACCCAAGGGGCTTTCTGGACTCTGCATACCCTGTGGACATACACAATCCTGGCACAGAATGAAGTGGCAGTTTTACTGGGAATGAGCCAGAAAGTAACAAACCTCCAGGGACAGCACGTTCCCAGGGACAGCCACCCCAGGGTGAACTAGGAGGTTATTGATTTTCTTGTCTTTTTTTTTTTTTTTTTTTTCCTGCTTTAGGAACTTCAATTCTCTGTCTCCCCGCCAAGGAAATGAGCGGGTACTGCAATGCGTGATGAGTGACATTAGCTTAGTCAGGCAGACGCCAAAGCCCAGTGAGCTGATGACTTTTACCTCCCTCTCTTCCAAATTTAAATACTCTTCTCAGCCTTAGACACGTTCGCAAATGTCTCATGCCAACCTGTTTCCTCTCTCTCAGCAACTTCACTTCCCTGGGTGATGAGTTCTGAATTCACCTGCAGCCCTGAGGAACTGGGACTTGCTGGACTCCACTGTCCAAGAGCATTTCACTGTGGAATGGATGCCCTCAGAAAAGCAAGGAACAGAAATCTCCACAAATATCCTTCTGAAAGGCACTGAAGACAGGTCTAACACATTGCATATGACCAGTAGGTGCAGCTGGACTTGGAACACTCCTGGGGACATGGTGGAAGCTGTAGGTATCTGACACCAAGTGATCTGCCACAGTCACCGAGAAGCTCCCAAAAGATCTGGGAGCAGAAAGGGAAAAAATCCAAACTGCGGTTTTGTGCTCATCCAGCGTGTCCTGTCCTCAGGGCTCTCCTGGAAGGCTGTGGCAGTTGTCTTGTCCCAGCACAGAAAGGTTTTTTTGCTCCTTTCCTCTTGGAGGGAGGTTTGCACCAGCCGGGAGTGACGCTGCGGGGACTCTTACAGGGCTTCCTCTACCGCTATAAAACCAGGAAACTACTCCCTGGAAACACGCCATGCCTTTGACAGCTCTGCGGGGAGAGCGAATCTCTCACCAGATCGACTGATAAAGAGTTGGACAGGAAAAACAATCGGTTTCCAGCCTTTTCCAGCGTGCAGTACCGCTTGTCCCCAGCGCTCGTCCTCAGCGCGCATCCAGGGCCACCAGCCTGACACGCAGCTTCGCCCATCCCACTGATCCCGCCCCACCGATCCCACCCCACTGATCCCATCCCACCCATCCCCCGGAGAGGCACACTCCACCTCCCCACTTATAAACAAACCCAGAGACGATCCAGTCCGTCTTTCAGATTCTATTTCAAGTTCACAGTTTGGAGATACACAACATGTGTAATTGCTATCGATCCTCATCACCCTTCTGGAAGAAAATCAGTGATAAAATTTCTAAATTTACAGGTAAGGATTTCACAAGGAGGAAAACCAAGGCACTAACGGGAGTGGAGTATCAACATTCCAATGTTATCTTTAGCTTTTTTTTCCTGGTATTAAGAATATGCTTTTAAATTCCAAACAAGCTCCTTATCCTGCTCTTGTTCCACACTAAAAATATAACAATGCAATTGCTGTCAGCAGGAAAAACAGGACCACGAAATCAAGTCTGTTTGTGATCCCACAGAGGAGTGAAATAATCAGGTACGAGATAGAGCTGTCCCCCAGCTCCAAGTTGGTTCCCGAGTTGCTGCATCCTCCTGCTGAAAGCCCTGCCAGAGTTGCTCACCTTTGCAAGAAGAGCTTCTTATTCATGTTTTACTTATCTGAGGTACAAGTTCTCAGCACTGACTTTGGTCTCCTTCAAAAGGAAGCCCCTGCATCCCACACAGGACCGTAGCAGTCATTCCAGAGGGACTGCTGGAGAAGTAAAGCAGCTGGATGTCAACATGGGGCTTCTTCAGACTCTGATGATGGGAAAATGAAAAAGGGAGGGATGTGCTTTGGAATGTGCAGCTGCCAGTGCTATCTCTGGCCAGGCTCACCGAGAGCAGGGAGGAGCCCTGAGGCTGTTGAGTTTCTGGGGATGGGTGAGGCACTGCAAGAACATTTCCAAGAGCAAGAATGGCACTTTGTGCTTCATGGAGCACTTTTTTTATGGAGGACAGCAAAACTCCAAGTACAGTCAAGGGCAATTGTTGAGATTCTGGCTGATTTACAGACAGAGAGACAGCAGATTCCTCCTGGCTACTGTACAGTGGACTACACAGCTGAGAATAAAGCTCAAATCCCAGCAGCTGGACCAAACTCCTTCATTACAGCCTCAGGCACCAAACAGTGCATCCTATTGCAAATCCTTGGCTGAAAACTCCCCTCTCCCACACACCTGCCCACCAGCTCTGAAAAAAACAGAGAGAGATTGTGCTAATATTGGTGGGTGAGATTTCTAAAGCTGAGCAGTGTGAACACCCTCAACAGCACTGCCACATTCCACTTAATTCTTCTAACTCATTGTTAAGGTCCCTCCCAACTCCTTGGATTTATAAACATTTGCTCCACAAAGGGCCAAAATCCCTTACTGAAAAGTCTCCCGCTGCTTCACAGGCTTTTGAGGTTGCCTTATCAAGTGCTGGTGACACAGGTTGTGCTGGTATAGTGCTTTCAGAAAATGAAGGTAATCCATTGATGCAAGCACAGGACCTTCAGCATTTTAGAGCTGTGTTTTGGGGCAGAAGAAGGTATTCTGTGTTCTATCCTCTTGCCCCAGGTTGGTGTAACAAGCCCCCTTCAAGGCACTCTCTTAGGGGACAAGTCACCAGTAGAACAGACATCTGTCCTCCATTTAATTTTAAGTTACAAACTAAGGCTTCTATGATTCCCAGTGCTTTTGGATTCTAGCTACATCACACCTGCAAAAAAGACAGGAATGTAAATGGGAAGTGTTTATTGCTGCAGCCCAGTTAAATCCCAGATTTGCTCAGTGTTTTGCCTGTGAGGTTCCTTCCTTGGCTTGGGGAGCTGGTGCACTGGAACTCCAGTGGACTTGTGGAAAAAGGCAGCTGCTAAATGCAGCAAAGAAGAAAGACTTTAAAAGGATGAGAAGTTCACAGAGGTGATACAGTTCCCATCCTCCAGCCACACCAAAAGTTAAAAAAAACAAATTATAAAGGAAATATAATTCAAGTAGACTGTGCCAGGGAGCAGAGGAATGGCCTTCACTGAAGCTACCAACCCATTTCAGCACTCACCCCAGATAAAGCAAAACGCCAGCTCCCACTGCTGTGGGAGCCTCACACAGTGGTCCTGCTCCTATGTGAATCTTGCTGCTCTCTGGAGGATCAGTACACCTGGACTCTGGTAAATTCAGCTGAAACAGGGGCCACTGGGGTTGCTGGATACCCTGGTGCTTGCTGAACACCAGCCAGAAGGCCCGTGGCTGCAGGTGGCTGTGGCTGAGCTGGGCACACACGCTGTGGGACGGGGAATTTGCCCAGCTGGCAGCACTGTCCTGGTGAGACTCCAGCCTGGGCCTGCCCAGGACACTCTCCAAAGGCACCTCTGGCTTGGCAGTGGGAAGAACTGAGGCTGTACCCTGCAGCACGGCCCTGCTGAGGTCCCTGGTGTCCCGGCGTGTGGCTGTGATGAAAGCCCTGGCTCTGAGCACTGGGGTGAGCAGGAAGAGCCAGAGGCGAAGGGCAGTGGTAGCTCTGGGTGGGGTAAGTACCAGGTACAGGGATAATCCTGGGCAGGAAGAAAACAAAAGGTTACACTGTGCTCAGAACTGACATTGCCTAATTACTGCTGGAAGTGCCCTGGGGGCAGATTTCCTCCTGACCAGCGCTCACAGAGGTCACTGCAATCCAACAGAGGGATTCACTACAACAGAAGCTCTTATTATAAGCAGCACATGAATAAAAAATGGGTTTAGTGGCCTCCCAGGACAGCTGTTCCCAGTCCCAACCCACTGATTCCACACCCACTGAACGAGCATGGCTCTTGGCCCCAGACTCTTTGTGCAAGGAATACACAAAACCAAACTGCAATGTGCTTTGAGATCCCTGTGCACATCCTCCCTGCCCTGTGAGTGACATATCTGCCAAGTCATTAATCAGGAGAAGTTACAGCTGCCAAGTGTTATTTATCGAGAAAATAAAAAGGCCTTTGGTGTAAGTAAGAGCACAAAATATAGAGAAAAAAAAAAAGAGGAGAGTTCGAAATACAACAGAGAGTTAGAAATAAAAGATAGAGTTAGAAATAAAATTAATCATTCAGAATCAAGGGCTAGGAAGTGTTTGCCAGCACAAGGCATGACTCATCCTGCCAAAACCTATCAGGAGAGAGGCAATCTGCCTGGAAGCCTCAGCCTCTGGGACTTCAGGAGTGCTGCTCAGCCCACGCACAACATGAGGATGAGAGCTGAGAATCCAGGCAATATTCATGAAGCCATGAGTGCCAAGTTCCCAGCAAGAAGAAGAGACTGGCTCATGCTGGGTTTTTCAGGCTTGAGATTTCTTTTTAATTATTTGAGGTGTGGATACTTTTTTTATTTGTAGACACAAACATCATGCCAAGGCATGGACTTCAAAGAACGATTTCCAATCTTGCAGCAATTTAATGCCTGAATCTTATAAAAATTTAAAATGAAAACAAATCCCAAACTACTAAGAGCTCTTGTGTGGAAATAAGAATCAAAATAATAAAAATTAATCTCCAGAACCACTTGCAGAAGTTGTATCTAAGACAGACATGCAAATTCAGCTGCAGTAGTAGAAGGATCCTAGAAACATCTTCCCACGCCCTGCTTGATAGTCAAATGTTCATGTAAATACCTTTGTGTCACAACAGTCTGTGTCACCTCACCAAAGGAGGCAGGTTTAGACACCGAGGTGCTGTGCACAGCAGGATGAGACTGGTGCTGACACAAGCTCAGCATGGAGCCAGGCTCCCTCTCCTCCCAAAAGCTGCACTTGCACGGGAGGGAGAGAGGGAAAACACCAATTCGGGGTCTGTCTGGCCTCCCCTGCAAGCATTCACACGTTTTGAATGTCCTGATGGCCCTGGGGGACACTCCTGCTGTAGACACGGGTTGCTTTTATGGTTTCCCATGGGTGAGGCCAGTGCAAACACCTGGGAATGCTTCTACTTCAAATAAAACTTTACAGCGAGCTGATGGCTTAAACAATACATAGAATTTAATCATGAATACAAAACTATTTCTCCTCCGTGAAACTGAAAGGACACCTTAGAATAAGTAAATATTTGACCTACATTTTCAAGCTTTTCAGAGTACAACGAATTCTCATGGTTTGTGTTAAACTTAAAACCTTTCCTGCAGGTCAGCTGTGGGCCCCAAGGTTTCTTTTCTGTAAAGCAACATTGCCTTGAAACTGAAAACCTGCTGAAAGGTTAAAAGAGACTAAAAGGTCTGCACTGAACTTTGTAAGTGCCATCCTTAATTTATAATGCTCTGGTCCTAAGTAGGTTTGGACACAACTCACTTCACAGCATTCCTGGCAGGAGAGGTGGGGCAAATAAAGATAAGGATCATGGCCCAGGGAGCCATATAACCAGGAACAACTCCCTACTGCTGGGGCAGAGTTACACAACTTAGCTTTCCTGTCAGCCAGAGCTGCAATATTCCCATGTGTACATACTGCCCTTGCAGTAAAGGAGAGGTCTATAACCTCCATTCAGCTTTCACTAAAGACCTGGTTGGCTTAATGTGTGGTAATTCATTAGTCACGCTAATGTCACCAGTGTAACATCACTGGGTGACTCTGCTCCCCCTGACACTCACGATGTGAACAGGAGAGGCACAATGCAGCTTTTAGAGACGATTTAAGGCTTCTACTCACACCTCAAAATTCCCCTACAAGCTATTTCACAGGAACTGCTGTACTTACGTGCTGTTTCCAGAGGCTCTTCTCTCTGCTAAGGACCCTGGGATGTATTTCAGCCCTGGTATCCTCCTCAGCAGAGTGAAAGGAAACACTCGGTCCAGCTTAGAGCCCACAGACTCTGGAAAATCCAAGCAGAAACAGTAGCCAAGACCATCTGAAGTCAGGAGCTTGTTAAGGAGAGCTGAGAACAAACACACTCATTTCTGACACAGCCATACAGAGTCCCTCTCTGTCCACAAACCACTTTCTCTGGAGAATTCTGCCAATTCTACCCAGCACCACCTTCAGAGACCATTGCCCTCCTCAGCTCCACGTTTTCTGCATGCACTGAGAAGGGCCAGCATAAGGTGAAACATAAATGCAGAATGGGATGAGCATGAGAAAAGCCAGTGAGGGCTGAATGCAGGGCAAGAGTCCAGGAAAAGCCAGTGCACCTCAGCAATGAGAACCACAGCACTTCCTTCCCAGCACGATCCCACATGGCTCAGGGCTTCCCACTCGGAAAGGATACAGGCTTCCCCAACCAGGAGCCCACACAGGTTCCCCAAGAGGGAAGAGTGGGGGACAAACCACGCTATGCAGAGCCCAAGCCACGGCACCAGCACCACAGGAACTCTGAACCCAAAGAGCAGAGTGCTCTTCATGCGGGAGCGGGTGGTAGAAACCCCCAGTGTGGCAAAAGCCACTGGCATGAACCCTTTGGCATCTGCCACTTCCAGCAGCCTGGAGACAAGGGGCTCGAGGAAGAGGTACAGGAGGGCAGAGAGCACGGAGAAAGTGGCAGTGAGGATGCAGTGCTTCGCTGTGCCCACGTTCTTCTCAAAGCTGCCAGCAAAGTACCAGATGATAACAGCACCACAGGCCAGGGAGATCAGGTCCTCGTAGATGAAGATGTAGGTGATCAACCTGTGAACTGAGCACAGCAACACCTCAGACAGGCACAGACAGCACTGGGGTTGCTATAAAACAGTTACATGCTTCAGCAGAGGGAGAGTGAGCCCACGGGATTAATTAACAGCTTTCATTTCTATCCTGGTGTAGAAAAGAAGGAACCTGAGGCCTTTAAAATCAGACATAAATAGCCAGATAGAGTGAAAACAAATGCTATCATGGGTGTCACAAACATATGGGCTGACTCTTGCTGCTTCCTGGGAAGCTGCCTGGAAAAAAGCAGCAGCATCTGTAGCAAATTTCAGTCTCATTAAGAGAAGCAAGAGACATAAAAATAACTGCTACAGTACCGACAATTTTGGCAAAAAGATAAACAAATTTTAAATTGCTGGAAAGCTGATTTTCATCACCAAAAATGTCTGGAGGTTATCACACCTCAGAAGTGCTTCTAGGCCCTCTGATTAGGTGTTCTGCTAGGCACACAGCAAGGATTGAGACAGACTTCTCCATCTCCCTCCCATCAACCTCAGATCCAAAGCCAGAAAAATACCAGTGAGAAAGAAAACAACGCAGTGCAACCCCTGGAGACATGTGAGGAGATGGTGGAATCCACCCATCAGTTCAGAGCCCTGGAGTGATAAAGGAAATCACTGCACAGGGGTAAGCTGGAATACGGGAATTAAAAGTGTGATAAAAATCATTCTGGGAATACCACAGGGACTGAGAAACACAAATCCCTCAAGCTCCTAGTAGTGTTATCCACTGGGCTTAAAGGACAGAAATGAGCACGCAGGGGAGCAGCCTGATGTCGAGGGACTGAAATGGGTGCCCAGCAGGCTCGGTGAAGGTCAGGGGAAGCGCATGGAAAGAGGAAGAAAAGGGGCGCGGAGAGCGGAACATGGGGGGAGAAGCGGACTCGGAGACGGGCTTGAGGAAATGCACAGAAATGGGGGCTGGGGGGGCTACCACGGGCTCTAGGGTAGGACAAGGAGAAGGCCGGAGAGAGGGGACACAAAGGCTCCGCTGGGATTCGGGGACGGCGCGGAATGGGGTGGGCAGAGAGAACCAAGGAGGTGGCGGCTGTGCCCGCCGGCGGCCCCGCTCACCTTCCCCGTCGTGCAGGGCTGCGGGGCGCAACGCGGCGGCGGAGCGGGCGGCGGGGACACCCCACAGCAGCCCGGGTGCGGAGGCACCGACCGACAGCAGCACCGTGAGGGCGGCGGCGGCCGGCGGGGCAGAGGGCGCCGCCATTGCTGCCCCGCGCGCCCGCCGCTTCCGGCCGCCGCCGGAAGGCCTGGCCGTTACCATGGCAACGGGAGGCGCCGTGGGGCCGTTACCATGGAGACGGGGGCTCTCCCCCCCCCTTTATCTCTCCCTCTGCTTGTCTCTCTCTCTCCCCCCACCCCTTTTGAATTTTTATTAAATTATTGTTATCTTTGCTCTGTTCAGAAGAGGAAAATATTCCAGCGAGAGGTGTGAGGTCTCGCTGGGAGCCCGCCTGGGCTGGGTTATAGCCGGGTGTTCCCACACGGGGCCGCCCCAGGGTGTGGGAGGCCCATCTAGACCGGTGCAGCCACCACTCCCCCCAAGCCGCGGGGTCTGGCTGCTGGGAATCAGAGAATCAATCAGCCGGAAAAGATCTCTGGGATCATCGAGTCCAACCCGTGACCGATGAACATCACCATGTCAACTAGACCAGAGCATTGTGTGGCACATTCCTTATTTCTGTAAACACCTCTAGGGATGGGGACTCCACCACTACCCCTTCCAATGTCTAATCACCCTTTCTCTGAAGGAATTCCTCCTCATGGTCAGACTGAACCTGCCGTGATGCAGTTTAAGACTGTGTCCTCCCACCCTGTCCCTTGGAGCAGAGCCCAAACCCCCATCTGGCTACAACCTCCTGTAAGCCAATTGTGGAGCACAAGAAGCCTCCTTTTCCCCAAAATGAGCCCTCCCAGCTCCCTCAGCCACTCCAGGTGCTCCAGACCTTTCCCCCGCTCTGGACACACTCCAGCCCCTCGATGTCCTTCCTGAATTGAGGGCCCCAGAACTGGACATTGGGCTCAAGGCTGAGTGTTTCCCTGCAGCTGTGATGGGTGGAGGTGGAGGGGAGTGTCCACACCACAGCTGCTCCTGCCGTGTTCATACCAATACCTGCGTGGGGTTTGTATTATGTGCCCTGTCTGCCTTCCATTCCCCAGAATATTGGCTTAATTGTCTGGCCAGTCCTCGTCAGATCTAGGAGAGGAACTGGCAGCTCAAAAATGAAGATGCCAAACTTCTTGCAGGTCTCGTGGACATAAGGAGATGGTGAAGTAGAGAGAACTTAATCTGATTCCTTTGGGGTAAAGCTTTCCTGTGATCATGACCACTGACTAGCTTTATACACAGTTAGCACTAACCACAGTTGCACTTGTTCTTGAGCTTGTAGTTCGGGATGTAGCTATGGATATTGTAGTAGGAAAAGAGTACATTTGCTCAAAAGGAGAAAATTGTACATCCCACCTGGATGTGTTCCTGTGTCACCTGCTCTAGGTGACCCTGCCTTGGCAGGGGGGGTTGGACTGGATGATCTGCAGAGGTCACTTCTAACCCTAAGTGATCCTTTGAACTTTGCTGTGTGCCCACACAGTCTGGCTGCTGGTTCATAGAATGCCAGAAGGGTTTGGATTGGAAGGCACTTAAAGACCATCACTGTGTGAGGGCTCATTTACACAGGAAGGATCAGAAGAAACCCACCTTCCCACACCACCTCTGATTTTGCAACGTGGAGGAGGATTTGAAGCAGCTGGGATAATTTCCAGCCAAGGAGAAAGAGCAAAAGGTTTAAGGACTGATGTTTTTTCCTCATCTCAGCTTCAAAGTTTTTGGTTGGGACCATAGCACAGATCTATTGGCAGATAGACACATAAGCCTGAAACTCTCTCTGAATTAATTCAATTTTCCATGTATGAGAAACCTTCAGTCCCTGAAGAATGCACAAACACCGAGAGGCTCTGCTCAGAGCAGAAGACTCCCCAGGTACCCTGGCTAGGGAGCATCGTTGGGATCTGCCCTAATCCCAACATTGCCCTAATCCCAAACTTTTGTGAGGTCCCAGGATGTCACAGAAAGGCTCACGGAGCAGTAGAAGATATTGTGGCTGGAGGAGATGCAGTTTCTCAAGGAGAAACCAAAAGACAGGCAGGGAGCTCAACCCCCTTTTTATTCTTTTTTTTTTTTTTTTCTTCTTCTTTTCTTTAATTAATCATTCCAGTCACTGCTTGTTTTGCAGAAACTTATTTTCGGCTGTGGCAGTGGGATTTGCCTCCTGCTGCTACGCCCAGGGGGGAAAGAAACAGCCCAACTTCTCTGCAAATCTGCTCAAACCATTCAGCTAAAATCAGAGAAAGCTCCTCAGTGCCTTTAAATTAAAAAGAAAAAAACAGGGTAAAACCTCACTGTTCTTTGGGTGCCTGTGCAGACTGTCCCTAGACAGAAAGGTGCAACTGTTAACTTCCCAGCTCTCACAAGAAGGTAGTTTGATGCGAAACAAGAAATACAACTTCTAAAAATAATCAGATTAAATAATCAGCGTTGCTTGTGCTGTCTTCTCAGTTCATCACTCTTACTCTCCGAAGCAAACCCTCATGTTTCACATGAGTGGCTCCCAAGATCATGACCCCTGCCTTCCTTTGGAAAACCATTCTCCCAAGCGGATATTTGGCTTTTTAGGCTACTCAGAAACGCTGGCAAACCTTTCTTATTTTTTCTTTAGGACCCAGACTTTGGATGTTTTCTCTAACTCCATTTAGCATCTGTTACAAATGGTGATGCACAAGTGAGGTACTGAGAGAAACAGGGGGGCTGCTGGTGCGGAAAGCCGGGGTTGCAACTCCCGCATTTCCCTCTGCGCAGCCTGACCATGCGCTGCGCGTTTATTAATTAAATTAATTTAATCTTTGACGCGATCCCCGCTGTGCACGCGCAGCCTCGCACCCCCTCCCCTTGGTACAACCCCCCCCCCGGCCGCTGTACCTTGGCACGGCCCTGCTCACCTCTCCTCCCCCCCCTGCTTTCCTAGCGAGTGGTAGGCGCCGCTCGCGCTGATTGGCCACCCGGCCCCGCAGTCCGCGCGAGCTGCGGGTGCCTCAGTGTGCGCGCGGCCGGCGCGGCGGGCGGGTCGGTCCCTGCGCTCCTTCCGCTCCCTCCGCCCCTCAGCGCCGCCGCCATGGCTTCGGGTAGGTGCCGCCAGCCCCGCCGGGCTCAGCGGGCAGCGGCGGCTCCGCTTCCCGCCGCCGAGCGCGGGCGCGGTGGGGCGCGGGAGGGCGGGCGGAGCGAGCGCCATGTGGCGCATGTGGGAAAGGCCGCGGCCATGTTGCGGGGGACGCGCCCGCTTTTTCCCTCACGCCCCCCCCCCTCCCCCCAACCCCCTGCGCTCGGTGAGGGGGAGGGGAACCACGCCCCCGCCGGTGGCCCCTGTGGGCACGCCCCCTTCGGCCGAGGCCACGCCCCCTCCCCGGGGAGCCCCGCTGCGCGAGCCGCTCGGGTCACGCCCCTTTGGGCGCGGGGGCGTGGCCTGGCGGGCGCGCCCCCCACCCGTGTCGCAGTGGGGGGGGCCGTGGGGACAGGGTCCCTTTGGGCTCTTGTGCTCGGATGGTGCGTGGGGTGCAGCCCTCCCTTTTGGGGTCTAGGCACCCCCACCGCATGTGTGATCCCCCACTTTGAGCTGTGCCACAGCCCCCCCAGTGTGGCGTGTAGGCCCCATTTTGATTCATGCCCCCCACGGTAGGCTCCCCCCACTTTTGGGTTGTGTGCCGTTTCCCCCAGTGTGGGATGTGGGCCCCATTTTGATTCATGCTCCCCACTGTAGGCTCCCCCCACTTTTGGGTTGTGTACCCTTCCCCCGGTGTGAGATGGAAGCTCCTTCCTTCTGGGTCACAGCCCTTCTCCTGTGTGCATCCCGACTTTGGGTTCTGGTTCCCTCCCACACCCCATCCCGGTGTGAGATGTGGGTCACCTTTGTGTCGTGCCCCTCTCCATAACATGGTTTGTGTGCTCCCCTTTTTGGATCAGCACCCCCCCATGGAATGCAGGCACCCCCTCCCTCGGGTCTTGCCCCTCTTTAGCATGGCAAATGCCCTCCCCACCCCGCAGCAGGGGAGCCACCTTTGTGTCCCAGTATGTCCCAGTATGTGCTGCCTCCTCTGTGTGCTCTTCACACGGGGTGAAGTGGGGAGGGGCTTCACACCCCCCTGCTGCGGCCTTAAAAACGCCCAGGCTGGGATTGTTTTCCAGCGGGGGCTTTAGCTGAGCACAGAGCAGGATTTGCTCTCCCGGCTGACCTGACACAGCCTGGCTTCTCCTGAGGCCTCTGAGCACAATGTCCTGTTTCTTCATCCCCTTTGAGGTGTGGATGGTTGGGTCCCCCGGCAGTGCTGCACCTGTGGACCTTGGATAGGTGTCGATGTCGTGTATCCCAAAGTGGGAGGAGGAATTCCAAGGCTGGCCGTGCTTTGTGGAGCGAGCCATGTTTTGTTGTGGTCGAGCCATTTTGGCATTGTCTCGTGCTGTGCGTGTGAGTGATAGACAATACAAACAAAGCAAGGGGTGCTAAAGGAATCCTTTCATTCAAGGAGCAGTTATGAACCAGGAAAAGCAAATGTGTCCAAAGGTATTAAAATGAGTCCAAATCATGAATTTTTCTGCTAAATGAGTAAAGCTTGGCAGCGAGCTACATCCATATTCCCCCATCTGTCAGCTGCTGACCAGTGAAGCACCTGAATGTCTCCTCTGTTTTTAGTAATGTTCTAACATGAGGTTCTTTTTCTTTGGAAGATTCTGTGAGGCAATGCTGCTTCTTTTTATGAATTACTTCAGAAGAGAAGCTCAGTTTTCAAATGTACACAGCAGCCTGTTCTATCTTGAGAGGAATAAACCCCCTGAGTAGGGCAAGGTGATTAGGCTGCTATGTCCCACTTCATCGACAGGAAATCTTTCCATTAACTTTTTAAACATTCAGGAAAAAAAAAAAAAGTAGGAATTTTCAGAATAAACTGTTATTTCCAAAAATCCTTACAGACTCTTGTCCCCATTGAGCCCACGAAAATAAATCGATCCGAAGTCTAAGAGGTCCAGCAGAGGATGTAGAAATTTATAAATAAAGGAAATTCCTCTGATTGCGTGTTTTCATATTTTACAGGCTCTTACCTGGTTGCTTTTAATTTTTTTTCCAAAATGTTGTGGTTTGGTGGAAGTTTGTTAAGGACAAGCTAAGGAGATTAAAGGCAGTTCTTAAGTTTATAGCTAGTTACATCCTTACTCAA